TATTCCAAAATTTATAGAGAATCACAAGGGACTCTGCCTGTATATAGCCATGTCACAAAAAGAGTAAAGGTAAATTACTCACACTTCTGAATTTCAAGACTTACTGAATAACTGTGGTAAGTACAACAATGTGGTCTAGAAAGTAGGAAGGGTATAAAGAGAAGAGGGAAGGAGTAGTGAGCCCAGAACATGACCTTAGATAAACATTTGAAGATATCTGACAAAGTCAAATCAAAGTTGAGAAAAAGTAACGTTTTTAATAACCATGCTTGGAAATTTCAATATTCACATGCAAAGAATGCTATTAGACCCTAATAAATACTACATTAAGGGATCGAGAAATGCCTCAGCAGTTAAAAACACTGGCTGCTCTTGCAGAGTACTCGGTTCCATTCCCACCACCCACATGGTGACTAACAACTGTGCTAATTCCAGTTCTAGGAGATCTGATGCATTCTTACTTACAAAAAAAAAAAAAAAAAAAAAAAAAAAAACCCTCCTAGAGACTGTGGCAGCAGCAGAAGTCACTGCACGGTATTTGGAAGCAGTCCTTATTTTTATCAGTTCAAAAACAGCAGAAGTCAGACCTGGTAGCTCACAACTTTAATCCTAGAACATCAAAAGCAGAGGCAGATAGAGATTTCTGTGAGATTGAGGTCAGCCTCTTCTACATAGTGAGTTCAAGGTCAGCTGTGGCTATAGGAAGACTCTGTTTCAAAAAAACAAAAATGAAAAAAAAAACAGTAAAAGTACATTATTCTTTTGTACTATTAAGATAAATCCACTCTACAGAAGCAAAACCTAAATCATACAATAAACTTTGGTTCTATTACATGTATATTTTGGGTATGTCAAAACGCATATACTCATATTTTCTTTTTTTAATGGTTTGAATATTCCAAGGCATGTGATTTGACTTATAACTTAAAACAAGAGAAGAAAGCCTCTAAATCATGAATGAGAGTTTTCTAGCCTTCAAATCTTCACCAAAACAATTGGTTGCATCATAGACAGAAATAAATTTTGCAGGAACATTGCCATTCACATATCAAGTTAAGAAGTTATAGTGGACTCTCCAAGGAGAGTCTTCTTGAAAAACTCTGTGTCCCATCATAGACTCACAAACCATGGTCTTCTATCCAGATTAAATACATCATACCTAGCCCTGTAAGATCAGCTTTTGGTCTTACTTTGGCTATGATTTTGCTATTAGGCTCTTTAACAAAGGACAATAGAGGAATCATAGATTTTTTTATGTCCCCTTCTAATAGATACAGTGATATTGGACATGACCATGAACCCAAATAAACCCTATAACTGATGTCAGTCTCTGTTCTGTCAAAGTTTTGTAGCATCCCTTCCCTCCAGGGGAATGTTCACTGCTACTAAATGCAGGCCCTCTTATCTTGGTCTTGAGTATCAAACCTGAAGCAGTTTTGTGACTCAATTGTAGTCAAATGTATTGTCACATATGAGGGGGTTCTAAAGGCTATCACAACTTTCTCAGTAGAAACTTTGAAGGTTATAATTTAACCAATGAACTTAACTTAAAAAATGGAAGTTAGGAGAAATGTCTCAGGGGTTAAGAACACCGATTGCTCTTGCAGAGAAACCAGTATCCACAAGGTAGCTAACAACTGTTTGTAATTGTGGTTCCAGGGATCTGACACCCTCTTCTGACCTCTGTGGACATTGCACAACATGGATATACTTACATGCAGTCAAGACACTCATACGAATAAAAATAATACACAAAATATTTTTATAGAAAGAGTGAAACGTATGACATTTCACACCTTTAATCCCAGCACGCTGGAGGCAGAAGCAGCATATATCTTGGAGATCAAGGTTAGCCTCATCTATGTAGTGATGTCCAGGTCACCTGGGGCTAGAGGGAAAGAAAGAAAAAGAAAAAACAAAGATGAAACAAAGATTTTCGAGTTCATAACCACTACATCTGCTAAAAGTGTACAACAGGGAGGTTTTGCTGTTTGTTATTGCTTTTGTTTGATAGCTTGTTTTTATTTGATTTTTTGAAACAAAGTTTCCCTTTAGCCCCAGCAGGCCTAGAACTCACTATAGATCAGGCTGGATTCCATCTTACAGAGATCTACCTATTTCTGCTTCCAGAGTGCTGGGATTGAAGGCATGTGCCACCACACCTGGTTCAAAAGGGAATTCTTTAAGTTGAAACAAAATGACGATACCTGATGAAAACATTAATGTAAAATGTCACTTATAAATAGAACAGAGCATCATAATCCTAAAATGAATGACTTTATCATCACTGTACAAGTTAAAAGACAAAAGTAACAATACTTATCACTATGTGATTTTCTCAATAAAAAGAGTATCAATAGAGAAAGAAAAAATCTGGCATCAACTACACAAGGCTAGTATTTTGGGGGAAAGCATATTATCTAGTACACATATATTTTAATCTTTCATCTTAAAACATAGCATGATACTGCTATAATATTTTTTGATAATTCTGTAGCTATTAAAGTATATAAGAAATATGGAAATAGTAAAAGAAAGGAATTTTAAACATAATAAGTCCTTTCACAAGAAATGTTTAAGGGGAGAGGGGAACGAGAGAATTTTACAAGCTGACAGCATTAACAAATGTCAAGAGTGAGATGATACTTATCAATTATTATGTTAAGCATCAATAGAAAACTATAAAAAGACTGAGATTTTATTAACCAAATTTAAATTATTTAAGTTTAAACTTTAAATTATTTCAAAAAAATTCTAATTTAAAGATTTTAAATAATTCTTGTCTTTTAGTGAAAATATGAGTTTGTGATATCATGAATTTCACATGATAACAGTTTCCAAATCTAAGAAACAAAAACATTATATGCCTGTGCTGTAGATGAACCGTATCATCTCAGCATAGCCAGGGAGTATGAGGATGGTGCAAGTGGGTCAGGATATGGGACGCTTACCCGGCTGAGCAGGTTGTGTAGGCTGTGTAACCATAGCTAGGCCTGGGAATATAGCGATGATGCAGGCAGGTGAGGTTCTGAAGAACCTCTGTGATCTTGAGCTAGGCCTGAGAGTGTGGGTATAGCACCAGTGTTTAGGACTCCTGTGAGGGGATCTCCCCAGGCTGGGTTGGTGAATAAGCAGTACAAACTAACCTAGACCAGAGTGTGGGTGTAGCATAGGCATGAGTTTCTGGGGAGTTCAAGAGCCTCGGCTGGTGTGCAAGGGACTGGAGGTTTTAATAGAACTGTTAAACTGAATATAACAGTCCAAGAAGACTCTGATATAGAAGGTCAGTTTATTTTCACAATAATGTACAGATAAATTAATGATGAAATAAATTTATCAGACAACCGTAGTGGAATAATTACATAGGCATATCAAGAAGGAAGGAAGGAAAGAAAGAAAGAAAGAAAGAAAGAAAGAAAGAAAGACCAGAAAGAAAAGAAAATCTGAACCTTTGTCTCATAACATTAATGAAAATATTCACAAAATTAATCATAGATGTAAATATAAACAATAAACGTAAAGACTTATTGAAGATGACAAAAGAGGAAAAATGGTTTTCTAAGGTTAGGCAAAAATTAAAGTAAGGTACGAAAAGTCTATAAGAGAAAATTAAACTAGATCTCATCATATTAATTTTTTTCTTCTGAGAGACAATAATAGAAAAATGAAATCGTAAGCCTAATTACTGAGTGAACAGGATTCTTGAGTAGAAATTTCCACTAGTTGTTTAGCGGTACCAGCTACATAAGGAATGTAATCTTTAAGTCCTTTAAAATATATCTGTGGTATTCTTTGGACAAGACCCAAAGTCACTCACTCAAATCCTTATAAATTTTCAGATAACAAGATTAGGATGTTTGGAGAATATTTTTTGAGAAACATCACTTATGATGAAGTAATTGGAAAGTCAATAATAGGTTTTTCTGCAGGATTCAAAATAATTGGGAAAGTTGAGTTTATTTTTCCATTTCCACAAGGGGATGCATTTGTTCCAAAGGGAAAACTTGCATAAAATTTTGACTCCCTCAGGATCATAAAGACTTATCATGATCCAAAGTATAAATACAAATCCCTTATTATTTCTGCTTTGTATTTACATGCTATTCTCTTGGAAAGAGACTAAGCACACTTCTACCTTGTTTATAGCTAAGTGTGTTTGGTCATTAAGCTCACTGTGAAACCTCTGAGCCTTGTCAAGCTCCAATGTGAAGACAATAATAAAGACCTCTTTGCTTTGCTGCTGGGGAAGACTCAAAATATTAATCACATAATACCTTCTGTAAATCAGAAATATTTACTGGTTATCCAGGATTCAGGCCATTACCATACTCTTAATAAAATCAAAGCCTCCAAAAATCATCAGATCTGAAAATACTCTTCTATAAACACAAAAATAAATAGCAAAGGTAAGGAATCTCTGAATCTTTACTGACATACTAAATTTCTGAAGCCCATGTGTGTGAACACCCTTGTTTATATGAGATGGAGTGTAGCAATGCCATTTCTCCCTTATCTTGTAAAATCTTGAAACTCAGGTGAAATTGGAAGAAGATAGTGTTTGGGAGGGGCGGACAGTGTTGAAATGTTAATAGCTGGATCTCCATAGAGATCTCCTACCTCACTATTGTCAGTTAGTTTTGGATTAATACAACTTATTTAATGCCCAATGCACAGAGATTTGTCTGCGTCTGTGACCACCATGATGTGGGCAAGCTTTTGATCTCTAGTTTTACTGATGTATGGAGGTCTCTCACGAAGGAAGAAATAAAAGAAAAAGATTATACCCTCTTCATCTAGTATTCTCATTTGTCTTTTGACTTTTACCATAAATTATGTTTAAATTTGGCATGATTGGTATGCCTATGGTTGGTTGGTCTTGATTTTCATAGATTGATTCTAATGTCCAAGTAGGGTTAGTGTCAGACATTCCCAACACACACCTTACATGTGGGGAAGAGTTGTCATTGAAAGTGTGTTTCATCCTCTAACGTAATTTTCCCATGTCCACAGATTCTTAGAGAAGAATGCCCTCTGAAAATCTCTCTTTTGTGACTGAATTCATCCTAGTAGGGTTAACAGATCAGCCTGCTCTACAAATATCTCTGTTCTATGTGTTTCTAATAATGTATATGATAACTGCACTGGGAAACTCGAGTTTGATCATTCTAATTGTGCTGAATTCACACCTTCACACCCCCATGTACTTTTTTCTTTTTAATTTGTCTTTTGTTGACCTCTGTTATTCTTCTGTGTTCACACCAAAAATGCTGATGAACTTTATATCAAATAAGAATGTCATTTCTTACATGGGCTGTATGACCCAGCTCTATTTCTTTTGCTTTTTTGTCATTTCTGAATGCTATGTCTTGACATCAATGGCCTATGATCGCTATGTGGCCATCTGCAATCCACTCATGTATACCTTTGTCATGTCCCACAAAGTGTGTTTGAGCCTTGTGCTTGGTTCATACTTAATGGCATTCTCTGGTGCCATGGCTCACACTGGATGCATGCTGAGACTGACCTTCTGTCGTGCAAACACCATCAACCACTATTTCTGTGACATTCTCCCTGTGATGCAGCTCTCCTGCACCAGTACTTATGTTAATGAGCTTGTAGTATTTGTTGTTGTGGGCATCAACATCATTGTGCCCAGCATCACCATCTTTATCTCTTATGGTTTCATACTCTTAACCATCTTCACCATCAACTCCACTGAGGGCAGATCCAAAGCTTTCAGCACCTGTAGTTCCCGTATAATTGCTGTTTCTCTGTTCTTTGGATCTGGTGCCTTTATGTATCTTAAACCATCTTTGTCTTTATCTATGGATGAAGGAAAAACTTCCTCTGTCTTCTACACCAATGTGGTTCCCATGTTGAATCCTTTAATCTACAGCTTAAGGAACAAAGATGTAAAAACTGCTCTGAGAAAAACTCTTCGCAGATGGAAATTTTGAGTGGCCCCAGCATGTCTCTATGCTTGGAGCTACAATGTGTGATGATACTTCATAGGAACCTATGATGCTTTATCAGATGAGTTATTATTCAATATTTCTCCTAGATAGTACTCTATATTTAAAAACTTAATGTTTAAAATTTATTGTCTGTGCTGTGAGAAAATAATGTGCTATTTTAGCACACAACATGGTATCTTGAAGTATATGTACATTGTGTAATGATTGATGCAATCGCTACTTCTTTACTATCTTAGTAAGGGAAATTTGAGTAATCTTAAAATTTGTTTCTCAAAAAATTTCTCATATTTCTAGAATCAGTCTTTTTCTTTTCCTTAACATATGCAAAATCCTTCATGATTTTCACCTTGTGTCTAATTAGGAATAACATTGAGGAAGAAAATTTTGGTTCTGTCTGCACTGTTATCATTTGCATTTTGAACTTCCTTTTTTCCTGTAAAAAAAGATTTTTTCCCCTTCAATTGAAACTATGTGACCTCTTTGCCGTTAGGTGTGGGTTTCTTCATTGCCCTTGTAATGTGTCTCTGGAACGGGCTGTAGTCGGAACATCATTTTCTCCTTCGGTACATGCTCCATCGAGAGCAAATATCTCCTTAATGTGCCAGTGTCACGGAAATGCAAGGTTCCTTACACACCATCAGATACATCATAGTTTGTCCCCACATACTGTGTTTTGTGCTTCTGTTGATTAGGACCTCATAGCTCTGTGTAAATATAATAGCATATACTAGATTTCTACCACTTGCTCTCTGTATGTGCAGGAAACTGATGCTCTTAATCACTAATGATTTACCAAAAATCAGAGAAAATTGCAGAAATTCCTATTCCTGATTTCAAGTGAACTATTAATTAAAGTACATATTCTGTATTCATGTTATTATTTTCACTTGAGGGAATACTTATATGAAGTGATATTTCACATTTTAAACTTGATTATCAAGTTTTGTTTCTGAATGAGGCATACTTTTCTCTCATATGGTTTCTGCCCTCTTTTTTGTTGAGCATATTGTTTTTGTAGGAACAAGGCTTTTGTGAATAGGGAGTTGAGTTTATCCACAATACTATAAAGAAAAGTATCTGGATGCTTTCATTGTTCTGTGAATTTAAGAAACAATAAATGGGGCTGAAAATGTAAAACAACAGGCATTAGACCAGGACTGAAGGAGGCTGGGAATAAGAGCCTCTCTCTGCAGTGAATGGCAAAGGAGGTTTTGAAAATAACCTTATAATGTGTATTGTATGTTCTTTTTTACAGACTAGAATTTTTACAGGACTTTACTTTTGTTTTTCTAATAGGTTAGAAAATTTGAAGGATATAGAAATCTATGTTAAAATAACTGAAAATCAAAAATTCACCCATTTCACAATATACATACTATTTTTTATAGTTCTCTCTTTTTGTCTCTAATACAGCTGAATCCTCCTGTTTGTTGGATTTCTTTGTGAATTTCATACAATGTATTTTGAACATATTTAGATCCCCTCCCATACCTGCACCCCCCCTTAACAAACTTCCAGTCTAATGCTTTTGATTATGGGTCCATTCACTGGAGCCTAGTCAAGGTACCAAGTATCAACCTTAAATAAGACTGAATCTCTCATTTCCAGCACCCATCTGTTGCTAATAGTTTCTCAGGTAGGGTTGGGGATCCTCATCCACTTCCCCATGCCTATACTAAGATTTTGTGTATATTATTCTACAGGATAATAGATTTATATCCCCCTCCCCAGTTTACAAATCTCCTATAATGTTAACAATCCCTAAAGACTGTATATCAATAATGTTTTGGGAAATGGAAATTCCTATATAGGGAAATGAATATTGGCTACATTGATGGGGATTCAAGTAGAATTAAAAGTAATAATTACAAGAGAGGAACAGCAAGTCCTCAAGATCCTTGGTAGGAAGAAGGATTTCAGAGAGTGAATGTCAGGAAAATGGAAGCCCCTCACTCTGACTCCATTAATTTTGCTGGAAATTTATAGAAATATTTTAAAGATCATATTCTCTTGATGGGACAAAATCTCAAGTTTTATTTTACAGTAAAGACCATTAACATCAAAAGAAGACCTAGAGACAAATAGTTCATTGCTGTATTGATTGCCTTTCATATGGATTCTAAGTTGCAAAGTGTATAGCTAACTGACACTGTAACTGTAAAAACTTAAAAATAACTTGCAATAACATTTACTATTTTACCACTTTTTACGACTTGCACTCATTATGTACATGTTTTGAAATATTATAAATTGTTTGTTGGCTTGACTGTTTCAGATGCTTAGCATTTCTAAATCTTTAAATTTTGGGTTTTATTTTAATTTATTACACACACACACACACACACACACACACACACACACACATGGATGTAAGTGCATTCATGTCTTGCAATGGCCATAGAGGTCAGAAGAAGGAGTCAGATTCCCCTGGAACTGGAGTTAGGTATAGTTGCTAACCACCATGAGGGTACTGGTAATCAAATCTGGGTCCTCTACAAGAGCAGCCAGTGCTCTTAACCACTGAGTCAGCTCTGAATTTTGGTTTTAAATGAACATCATGATGACTTTTTTAAAAACTGTTCCTACATATACTATGTTTAATTTTTAGCCTGGTAATGTTTATTGCACTAAATTGTAGATCTTGGGTAAACTTTCTTTCTTTCTTTCTTTCTTTCTTTCTTTCTTTCTTTCTTTCTTACTTATTCCATGTCCTTTTTAAAAAAAAGTTGTTTTCTATTTTGTTTTGTTTTTTTTTTTTTTTAATTTAATCTCTCCGTTCCAGACCATCCTATGCAACCTAGCATACACCTATCTCAAAGTCAAAAGTTAAGAAACAAGAGAAACATTAAGGATAGATCTTACCAACAGAGGTCTTGCTCAACACATCTGAATCTCTGGGTTTCATCTATAGTAGAACACACACATAAAAGTAGTACATGGATGGTTCAGGGGTGCTGAAATATTCTATTTATTACAACATATGGGCATTGTGAAATGATCCTTTCATGAAAGTTTGCTACAGTGTAAGCTTGATACCCTCCTATAAATGACAAATTTCACAATAAAATAATGCTACAATTTTTTATAGTGTTGTTTATTTGAAAATTACATAAAAATAATATCATTTGGCCAGGTGTGGTGGTGCTCGCCTTTAATCCCAGCAATTGGAAGGCAGAGGCAGGCAGATCTTTGTGAGTTCGAGACCAGCCTAGTCTACTTAGTGAGTTCCAGGACAGCTGGGGCTACAGGGAGATACTCTCTCTCAAAGACCAAAAAAAAAAAAAAAACCCTTTTAGCCGTGAGAAAGGGGAAAGTCAAGCTCCAAGAATCCTGTAATCCAGAAAACACAACT